CAGTTCAGGGGTCAAAAGGGTGGAAAGAAGAATGAGACCAAGCCAACCACCACCACCAAACCCATGCTGCCAAAGAAGCGTCGGTTGCTTCCAGAGATTGGTGATTGCCTGGTGGCTCTGGATGCAGTGGCTGATGCGGGTGAGGTGTTGTGTGATATCCCTGTGGTGAACGCTCGGGCTACAAAGAAACTATCCACCATGCCTACCTTGTGCATTTCAAAGAAGTTGGGTGCTGTTGTGAAGAATACATCTGGGGAAGAAGTGACTTGGTAACATAACACCAGTTTTTGTGATTCAAACTTAACTAGTGAGGGAGTAAGGGACAATATGCATGAACCCCTTTGTTTAATGTCACTTTGAAAGGACACCTGATGATTAGATGTATATTGATGATTCTACTACCCCAGAGTTCCTCAGGTGACTCTTCCAGAAGGCACGGTGCTCTGTGGCTTTGGGAAAGCCAAGTTTCAGGAATGCCCAAAGGATGCTTCAACGCTAGATCCTGACACGCAGTTCATTTTTTGAAGTCAATGGGGATACCTTTGGAACCTTGGACAACACTACTGGGACCATGAATGAGATCTTGAAGTATGCAAAGGAAACCAAGCCGGCAAATTGCAAAGTGTGCTACCACAAAGCATCGCAAGATCCTGAGGGAAATTGGGCTTTGGAGAAGGAGAGGTGCTTTCAAACAATTTCCAAGGTCCAAGGTGTTGAAATTAAAGGTAACCATACAGGAAGTCTATAGGTTCCCTATATTGCCACCCCTGCAGGAGCACAACGTTGTCTTCACGATCTTGAAGGAGGATGCAAACCTGAAGTATTCCCAAAGCCAGGCAGGCAAGCTCCTGCTCCCAGCCCTTTCCTGTTGGGAAAGCAAGGCCTGTGCAGCGGGATGGAACTTCAAATGGTCGCTGAACGGAATCCAGCCTCAGAGGGCCGTTGTGATGGTGACACAGGACATCACCATTCCTACCAACAAAGCATTCATTTTCCAGTAGCCGGAGGTGCTCCAAAGCCTGCTAAAACTAAACATAGACATGACCTCATAGCCAATTGTCAGGATCTACTTGCCCTGTTTGAGAACATATTGTATTCTCAGCGTGGTTATCTTTAGGGTGGGCCCTTGAAGTGTAGGTAGGTTTGGAGCGCTTAGTTTTGACAATGTCAATCTGCATTTGACAGGAGAAAGGTGCGCTGGATATGGGCTGTTTGTGTCTGAAGGCTGACATGTTCAATCCAAAATGGCCCCACCATAGCTTCCTACCCTGGGACACTGGCAACAAACACAGTGGGGGAAAGGGTTTTCCTTTCTGCACTGCCCTTTGTGCACCGGCACTGCTGTGGCCAGGCCCTGCCTACCCGCAGGACAGTGGTGGAAAGGATGTTTTTTTCTTTGGGTGGGGGTGTGTGGTGGAGTGTGGTGTGGTTACTGGTCCAGGTGGTTCCCACAGGTTGTTGATGGTGACCCATAAAGGAAGGGATGTAGAGAGATGCAAAATGAGATGCACTCAGTTGCAGGTATTCCCATCCAGGGTTTAAATTATGTCTTAATAAATAAGTATCTGTCTGTGAGTTCCTTCTGTGCTGCATTGTCTTGGAACCATGAGAAGAGGCAACAAAAACAGCCTCAGACGTGAAAGTGGTGATCTTCACCAAAAAGAGGCAACATCAAATGGCCAAGTTTGAAGGGAAGAACAAATGGGCAGCCCTTGAAGGCCAATGGCTGAGCAATCGCGTTGCAGACTTGTGCGCAAACAGTGGCCTATGCACTTAGGGCCAAAACCAAGCTCAGGCCCCGCTTAAGAGACAAGTCTCTGTGGCTATCGCAACAAATGCATGACACTGTGGAGCCCAACAGTGCCTAGTTGCCTGAGATACATTTCCACTACTTTGACTTGGTGCCCTGTGCGGCTGAGCACCTATGGAGAGTCACTGCGACGAATGGGCAACGCTGTCAGGCAGCTTGTGAGCGAGCCTATGAAAGATGTCAAAGATGGCATCTCAGAATATGATCGCTACATCGAGGCAGTTAAGGCGTCGAATTGCACCAACGTGGCACAAAGGGTTGCGCGTGTGGATCGGCGGTTGGAGCCCATGTGGTGAAGCAGGAGCGCGCAAAGGGTTGCACAGGTAGATCGGCCAGTTTGGGTCAGAAACCATGTGATGAAGCAGGCGTACCTTCGAGCTGTCATCAAAAAAAATGCTTGGTCTTGGGCATTTAGTGCCACTCACTGACCACTTGTGATTCTTGGACACCTGGATTTGGTGCCACTCACTGACTGCTT